AACCACAGCAAACTCCATCCTGTCTGAAAGTTATTCATCTAAGATGGGTGACACTACTTAGCCAGAACCATTATTAATACAAAAAAATATTATGCTGATTTTTTTTCCAGATTATTTAGTTGCATAATATTTACTGTAAGTATAAATTGAAGTGGATCACACTCATTGAGTAATCACGTTGGAGTACTTACACCAACCAAGCTACCACGGTAACTCCTGTAAAGAATATGTAAACACAGAGTAGGGCCTGCATTTATTATTGCTTAATATTAATGTGTGATGTTTTGTCTCTTTACACTTATGTCCAAGCATTTCACTATACACTATACTAAATATGACTGTGTATGTGCCAAAAGTTTGATTGATTGATTGATTGATTGATTGATTGATTGATTGAAAATGTCTAGTGGATGTGAAAGGATGCCGCTGAACATGTAATGACTAATATGAAAGTTGGGTTATTTATTGTAAATGATGTACATAGACTGTACTTTTATAAGGGATTTTATTCAATAAAGAAATGTAGAATAATCTAAGTGATCAGTAAGACAAATTCAGTATTGAGCAGATAGACAGTGCGGCCTTATGCATGTGAAAAGACGCTTACCTGGATGACTGCTGCTAAAACAAAGGATTTAAATAAAGCTTTCTAGCGAGATGTCGCCTCCTCATGATTTATTTTCTTTCACTGTGTATGTCTTGACAAGAAAGACAACTGCACCCTGGTACAGGTTAATACTAATGTCATTTTTTTGTTAATATGGCATTTCTGCTGCACACCTGCATTCAGGAAGCAGTACAGGCCCGAACACTGCATGGCATTGCCGTGGAGACACCCACGGTCATACCTCCATGTGAAATGAAGAACCATGCCCACGATAATCCAGTATCGGTTCAAAGCAACTTAAAAATCCGATGTCATTCAGATGCTTCTAATTCCCTGGGTTACACAAGACTTCGTCTCCAGCTCTAGGCACCGTGTAGTTGTATAGGAAAGATTGTCTTAAGTAATACATGATGACCCCCACGAAACTATCAGCTGAAAAGCAAATGCGTGGAATGGACAGGAAGTCTGCTAATCTGTAACGCAATACCGAGGAAGGAAGAGGTCCGGAAGCAGCCTTCAGAGCTTTCGCCAATCATATTCATCACGGGCTTGGCCCAGACTCATTAGGCTGCATTGCTGCACTTAACTAAACATCTTTTTCATGAAATAAATGCTTCCAGGTTACTTAAAGCCCAGGTCATGCAAGCATCTGATCTCAATTACCACGGTGATATCGGACCTTTCTAACATGGTAAACCTACAGTACCATGGCAACCAACAGAGGGTGCACTTCAGTATAGATATGTGTCGTCCTTCTCTTCAATTTGGGGGGGGGGGGGGGGATTATTAGGTAATTGATTCCTGATGCACTTCTTATCCTGGAATATTAATTGCCCAGTGATTAAAACTTCTTTGCATTGTTATAAGGATGGTTGAATGGGGCCAACGTGAGCATTCATAACTGATGGTCTTAAGTGTCATTTTGAATGAGAACGAGATCAGATGTTCCAAGTTTAACCCCAGACAGTAAAGTTCCAGCTTTTCAGAACTGGGGTAGCTGAAGATGGTGAGTGTGTAGTTTTTTTGTGCATAAAATTAATGCAGAATATGAGAAGAACCGAAGCAGGAAAAACCTGCAGCACACATGTTTCCTTAGAGTCGATGGAAAGTTGCTTTTTTCTGGAAAATGCAGCATTTGGACGGGAGGATGGCGAGCCGGCAGAGGCTTCCCTCGGCAGGACAGCTCAGAAGCAGCCTAGCTTCTCCTCCTGACATCCACAAAAAACAAGGTAACACAACCACTTTCTTTTGCTATCTTTCTCTTGCCTTTCATTTTTCTGGGGTTGGAGTGGCATGGCCGTTTCCATGGCAACAGAGTGCTGTACCATTTCAAGCCCATTAGTACGAATATATTGTATGCTGTCATTAGAGACAGATATATAATTTAGACAATACTCCCCCCAGTGGCGAGATGCTGCACTTTTGATACGGATACTGTAATAACAACAATTAAGAAATGTTTTCCTCAGGTGCTGGTCAGCGATCTGGAATTCAAATACAATTTATGAAATAATTAAATTCATATTCTTAAAACGAATACCAGCTATGGAAAGTATAATAAATTTTTAAATTGTTTTTAAAACTATTTTTAATAATAGACCAGAAAAAAAGGACTACTAGCAGAAAACATATTTGGGTGATTAGGAATACTGACTTTCTGTCTGTTCAGATGATGAAGAGATGTAATAAAAGACTCTTTAAAGTTTACTGGCAATTAATATCCCCCTGAGATACTGCAGAGGCAAAGCGACAATGGAAAAGAGCATTTTGGGCAACAGGTGTGATCGTAGTTATATGTATTACATTACATAACACTGACTGCTTCAGTCACCTAAGACTTTTATAAGTAAAACCCACAAAATTTACAAATATGTATGATTATAGAATTCTACTGCTAATTTCTTAGATTTAAAGGGTTACAAATCTAAGGTGTTATTTCATATACAATTTTATGAATTATTATTAGAGAATCAATAATAATTTAGAGTTTTATTCGGATTATATTTGTATGCTCAACTTTCAGAGAATGAGACTTGAAAGTATGATTTGCACATTATAAAATCCAATTAAGCAACACTGAGAACTAGCCTCAGAATTTGACTTTTCACTTACCTTCCCCTAACCATATTTCACCAATAATATAAAGTAATAATTAAATGCTAACAAGTTCAGTATTTCAGTGTATTTCATTTTTGTGACTTGTTCTGGTTACAAGCACATATCACTAACAGATTTCTTTTATTAATCTAAGATTAATAAACTCGAAAACTCAAAAGAATTGTTCAAAATAACTGTTAAAAAAAACAAAAACATTTTCTTACTTTAAAGCTTTGCCGAAACAGTGCCTTACTTTGTTGCTTTAACAGTTACGGACATGCTGTGTAATTTGAAGTTACAAGTACACAGGCAACCTATGCAGGCATTTAAGGATATACCGTCTCTGAACACTGCACCCTGAACACTGAGACTGGTCCGCTGCAGGATGCAGCTTGAATGACCTGACACAGCTGTTGTGCATTTACTGCATCTCAGAGATTATTTGGGAGAAATTCTCAATGGATCCAACAGCACAAACCCACTGTTGGTATCTTACACTTTAAATTAAATATTGTCAAAGTGTTCTATAACAGCTACTACACACGGCTTTCATTTTAATTTTAATGCCTGTTTATGTACCATATACATAAACTCTAGGCGTATTTATTTACTTACTTAACTGTTCTGTGTGACATAGTCTGCAAAGCATATTCTACTTTTTATGCAGCATAATGTAATTTTATTTTTCAATTTCTTAGCTTCTGTATTTAGTGTATAGTTTCTTAATAGAAACCATTTCAGGTGATGCATGGAAAAATTTATCTATCTATGCAATGTCTAATAAAATAAATTGCTTCGATATTTTCCATTAACACTTCATGACGCTGAATCTTCAAGTTAAAAAATCTGATAGCTGAGCACTTTTATGAAAACAAATAATTTTATTAATCCAGTAAATAGACTGCAAGCTGCTTTTCTTAATTGCCATTTAAACAATTAAAACAGTAAAACGATTACCCAATTAAATTGCATTAACTGCTAATCATCATTATGATGATTTGCGATAAACAATGTAGTTGCTTTGGGGATTCATAAAACCTACATCACAATCCTGACTCAATCATGCCACTGATTCACATACAGTAATATAATTTCTTGAATAAATTCACGTAAACTTAACAAAGTTATAATGGTTATTGACTAAAATTCAGATTTTCTGCTGATACTTCAATCTTTTTATATGGGCCTATATCTTTTTTTTCTTCTTTGTCATGTATGAACTCCCAGGTGTAATTTTATCAAGGCTTATGAAACGGACAGTTATCTTCCTACTAATATGAATCAATTTAAATTTTAGCGTGAAATACATTATATTGCCTTCTAGTGGGGAAATGATCTTGCATGCACTGAGACTACCATGCATCATGCTAAAGAACTGTTTGTGCTTTGGTTCTTTCAAGAATAATACAATTATATGGATATATAGAAACTTACTTAATTTATCATGAATAAGCAGGTTTTACTTCAAGTCTGAGAAAGCAAATTCTAGTACATATTTAGCTAATACCACGTCTGCTTACCTTAGCAACATTTTCTGACATACAAAAAATACTTTTGACATGGTGCTTTTCTACAATAGTTCCAGCAGAGGGAGGCAAAGCGTTACAAACAGTATATTATTTTCATATATCTCTTAATTAAGATTTATTAACGGGATAGTACTAAACTGACTGGTGTAAGTGATAATTTTCACTATTACTAAAAAACCTCAATAGATGATAGCATAATTCTCAAAATAACCACACAAAGGAACTTTGATATAACTCTGATTCAGCAGGTTATGTACAAAATTGACTAGTTTAAGTTAATATTCTGCAAAGCTTCTAAATTAGGTGAGATTCCAGTCCACGAACTGTTCAGAGGCAACCTGAGAGAAAAACTATGTAAATATGACGGGAAAAAGGATCATATTCAAAGTCAGTGGAGTCGGTAAACTTACACCACGTGCAGCTACATTTAAGATTAAAACCAACAGCATATAGGCCTATGCACTAAACACGTTTCACAACGTTTTCACAACTCTCCGCAATATCCAATAGCTCATATTTTTAAAACTTATTTGTCTCTTTATGTTTCTTCGATATATATAAATGTTTGTCTTTAGCATCGCGCAATTTAAATTCGGGGTGGACAGATTAAATTATGAGTTTATATTGGATCAAGGAAGAGTGTTCACTGTTCAACCTGTAATGCTATGTATGTTCAAAGTCATACTGTTTATTTTCATAATATTGAGTAGCACTCATAAGATTTACACGTGTTTTTACACGTCTAGGATTAACGCAAAAACACTACATCTTAAGTAATTTGGCTGTTCAAATCAATCAATTATTCGTCATTCGTCTAGTTAGTCGAACAATTCATCGGTTTATCATTGTCCCCTCGTTGGAAGAGCTACATAAACTTCTGCGTCAATGAGACGGTATCACACCTTAAATTCGATAGGCAGAGGGGCATGGTGGGGGAGGTGTGCGAGCTTCAGACCTTTACATCACAGGACTTACGTGCGGTGGAGGCGCTGGATCTGGTTGCAGCACATTTTTGTCTTTTAGGTAATTTTCATTAAAAAATAAACAGCAGTAGGCCTATTTGTGGATGTGCTGTGCCTACTTTACTTCAGTATTCTGGATTTGTAAAAGCTTTGTCGTATAATGAGAGGTGAGTAACGCTGGATCTCGGCACGTACCTAAGATTTTTCTTTTTGATTTAGATTTAACTTAAATAGATTCAAATGCGTGTATAACGTGAAATGGTTTGTGTGTTCGAACAGTTCCCAGTCCGGCATTGATATGTGCAGTTTTTCTTCTGGTACGAGGATTTTTATGCCAAGGACAAGATACTAAATCAAGTAAGTGCAAAGTTAACTAATGCTGCGATTGATTATTTGAATAACAGCAGTTCAGGAGCAGATGCTCATTAAAAATAATCATCTTACGTTCAGTTACCAGGGGCTTGTCTGTATTTTATCTCAAATTATTTTGAGTTATTTTTCAGTACGAAGAAGAAGGGGACAAACCTGTCTGGATGGGGCGAAGTCCCTTACACCTCAGTCCAGAGACATTCTTCTTCTTATGCTGGAACCCAGCATAGTATTATAAAGCAGGTCTACAGAAATAATTCAAATGAATACTTCAAAAATATGTATGCTTTTGACTAGCTATATACAAGTAGCACGGTGTGTCAGGCTCGAGCGCTGTGAATTTTTGGTTTCCAGGACATCCATTTATTAGTTGCCTAAACGTTAACAAAAATTGCAATTATTATTTGTTAAAGTAAACGAGACTCAGTATTATTATAAGCAGTTTTTCTGTCCTTGTTTCACTCTTAGCCATTCCATTTAGAATTAGGAGCCTTTTTGCGCTCTGATTGGGCGCCACCTACTTCTTTTACATCGGTGGTATTTTGGTGATGCAATGAACATGTCTGATCATGGACTGGACCAGTTGTGGGTCACGTTTAACTGCCCTTGCGGTGGGGGTGGGGACGTTCTAATGCGATTTGCGATTTCATTTGTACTGTATGATCCCTTTAATTGTATATTTTTTTAGGTGTTGTATCGTTCTTGCTCCAATACTGCTTACACTTGTAACTAGTCATTCATTGGAAGCTCAGCCTATCTGCACTTACGCCTGATTGGTTACTTGACCACTGTATGTTTGTAACCTGCTTTATTGCCAATGTGCTCTACCTGCTGAATAAAACGTAATGTTAGATCAATTAAATAGCTTTTCTGTTGTCTAAAACTGAAGTATGTGATGGTCTTTGATGAAGGAAAAGTTAGCATGTTTTCTCTCTGTTTTGTGGGTTTGCCAGCATGGTGCACTGTGATGGACTGGCGTCAATGAATTGCCTGTAGTGCGTGTTTGTCTGTGTGTATGCGCCCTGTGATGGACTGGCATTTCATCCAGGTTGTACTGTGGTCTTGTGCCTATAATCCATGGCCACGTGTAACCGTGTATAGGATAACAGGTATTCAAATGAGTGGAATTCACATTTTTAGTGAATTAACAGTCCTGAATGTGTATGTTTTCTTGCAGCCAATCCCTGTTGTCATTTCCCCTGCCAGAACTGGGGTGTGTGTGTGAGGTTTGGCATGGACAGATATGAATGTGACTGTACTCGCACTGGTTACTATGGAGAAAATTGCACTATTCGTAAGTAAGCTCGTTCATTCATTCATTCATTCATATACTTTTTTTATTGGTTCTGTTTTTTTTTTCCCCTCCCGAATCATAACTGTCACTGACATTTCCTATGTTGCCCTGGAGGATTTAAATGTCTGAAGAGCTAGTTTAATTGCAATTTTAGATTTTATTAGAGTTTAATCTTTCCATTATACTGGGCCTTTAAGCAGACTAGACTGGTATATTGAAGATAATTCTCTTACTTTTGGTTTAATCATTTTCACTCTAAATGGAATTATGCCCCTGCAGTGGACTGACATCCTGTCATGGGGTTTTGCTGCTTTATCCACAGGAAATAAATATTCCCCAGTTTACAACTATATGACCAAATTTAGCTGTTCACTGCGATTACACCCCAGTGAATCCAGAAGAAAGCAAAGCGGGTGCAGGTGGCAGGAATGAAAAGTAAAAGTTTTAAAAATTATTTTTATTATTAATTGAAGTTGCTAACTGTGGGAAGCCATCATGATACCCTTAACACTGGTGCCCCTGCATCTGTAAATCCAGCTTGGGAAATTCAGACTTAATTCAAACCTTTTGTTTCTGCCTTTTGTTAAAAGCTCACGTCTTGGCTCCACATCCAGAGCTCAGCTCACTGTACAGCTGTAATACGTGTGTCTGTTAAACATTGAATTATGGTTTGCTGGTATAAAAGCACTTGACACGGTGTGACACTCTGAATAAAGCGAGTTGGTTTGTTAGTAGGCCTTGTCTATTATCCTCCAGGTTATTACTTAATATTCTTACAGCTTTTAGTATGTTTTTACCCCATTCTCGCTAAGATGTGTGTGGAGTATGTTATTGTTAATTAGCTGTATTGGAACACTGCTGTACATTACTACCATAGTTATAGTCGCTAAATTCTCAGGTGTTTTCAGTCTTATTTGGGGTTGAGTTAAATCATGTTGCATTGCAGTCAGAGTGGGTTTGGGTTATGTGATGAAACTTGTTATTTTGACGTTGTGGGGACCATTTTTTCTGTCCCCACAAGGGGAAATAAAATTTGTTTGGTTACTTATGGTTAAGGTTAGGGCTGGGTAGGGTTTAAGGGTGTCATACTTAGGATTAGAGTTTTTCCCATAGAAATGAATGGATGGTCGCCACAAAGATATGAGTACAAACGTGTGTGTGTGTGTGACACACCATGTGGAAAATATTTACTTAATTCATTTTTATGCATAAGATGCCATATGGATTATAATGGTAGGATTTTCTGTCCTATTTTGTTGTTTTTAGTTCATTTCATTGACATTTAATTCCTTGTTTAGATCAGTTTTTAAATATTTCCTTTTTCCTTTGAAGTCTGTAACATTGTCCTACCATGTTTTTAAGTCTAGTTAATTTTACCATTTAACCAACAGCAATAACTACTGAAAAATATTAAAAAGTACCAATAGTGAGGGGGGTATTTAGTTTTTATATATATTGTACAGATTTTTATTGCCCTCTTTCCTTAATACTGGTTTTATTCAGGAAAGTCACCTGTGGATGAATATCCAGCCTGACGTGAAATGTCTATCATTTACAGCGGAGTTCTGGTCCAGAGTCCAGCAGCTGCTGAAGCCCACTCCTGATGTAATGCACTACATCCTCACCCATTTCAAGTGGCTGTGGGACATCATCAACCAGACGTTCCTCCGTAACATGCTGATGCGCTTGGTCCTCCAAGGTCAGAAGCTTGCAGCTTGGTCACAAGACACAAATAGCAGTTTAAAAACTGTCTCATGAAGTTATGAATGTTGGAGTCAGCTAAGCAGTCACTGTATGTTTGATTGAATGTGGAAATCAGGTGCCGTGCTTCAGGAAACTAGCATGGAATAGTGATCGAAACACTGAAGACTGTTATCAAAAATCTATGTCTCCAACCATCTTACTGTTGACTTGAAAGCATGGGAATGAATTTAGAGGGAGCTGGTACATGGCGAGGAATCAATGCCTACTATTAGTTTTCTTGAAAACTTGCTTGTTTTTTGGTATGACATACGTTTTTATCTAGCCACTCATGAGCCTTGCTGTGCTGTCAGCCTGCTATCTGATATCTGTATCTGGGCTCATTGTAGTGCTTCCTCCAGCATTTGTCCTCCAAAGACTGAAATCGTTTATTCATCACCAAGTACTTTTACATACGAGGAATTTACTTTGAGGTGTCGTGCAAAACAAGCAAGGACAATCAAGAAAATTGTGGAAGAAAACTCACTTCTGGCGAGGAGATGGTTGAATCAGGTATCCTTTATTAACAATTGCACCCAGGAGCCCTCTAGAAGAGGACTCAAATGGTGCTTTTCCACTGCCACTAAGAACTGAGCTGTACCTGAGCAGAACCGCAAACTGGCAGTTTTCCATTGTAAATTATGTGAGGTGTACCCAAGCCGTACATGCACTGACAGGATGCTGCTTACTAGCAGGGCCAAAAGCATGACAGAACTGAGCTGATTGTGTCACCACCATCTGATTAGTAAAAATGAATAGAGATACCTTTGTTCTGCACATGGATTATCTGAAGAAAAAGCATATATTGTTTATTATTATTATAATTATTATTTTTATTATTAGTAGTAGTATCACATCACAATGTATTGATGCACTTAGAATTTGAAAATTTTTAACCTAAAAAAGTAATATAGAACAGCTGAATGTAATAGATTCGAAATACGCACGCTAATGCTAATTCCACTAGCGTTTGATGCTACCATAACATGGCGGTTCAAAGAATCTGTGCTGTCCAACAAAATTAGGAAATGAGGTCACAGTAAATCACGATGTACACCATGTGAACAGTAAATAAGCGTCTCTTCGGTTTTATGTCGCTGTCGCTCACCCAGCCCCCCAAAGCCTTAACTGAGCTGTCCCTTCTGCAGTGGAAAACCAAAGCCAGCCGGAACCTGTAGCTAGTGTCTCTTTGTGGTACAGCTCAGTTACAGGTCTGTTCCTGTATGCCAGTGCTTCTGAGTGAGGACAATAAATACTTGGATACAAAAGGATCACAGGTCAGGAGCTTTATCATTTGGTCAGCTGCCTGTTCGCACCTCCCTTCCTGGGGGGGCATGTGGGGGTGAAGGAAATTGTATGCCATTTGGCCCCTGTGGGCTAGGTGGGCCACTTACATATCAAAGGGAGGTGTGCATGGTCAGTGGGTGATGAAAGGCAGCTGTCATGTTTGCAAGACCCTAAGAAACATATGCTGAGTTCCATTTCCTTTGGAGGTGGTACTGACATTGCACCCGGCTTAACCGCATTCCAGTACAACAAGTCGGAAACCCATTTATCAATACCAGTTCCAACCAGGTTCATTGTTAGCCGTTGTTAGCAATATCAGTTGATAAGAACACATTACGTGGTATTTTGCACATAAAACACCAAAAGAATATGTCCACAGATAGCGGTTGGACAGCACTGCGTGTACAACCAATTTAATGGCCACACATAAGACATAAGTGCTAATACACAGCATAAAACTAGAGTTTTAACTTCTGTTGATGAAGGGCGCAGCCATCTTGAATTCTGAGGTTGGGGGTTGCAGAGGTTCCTTTGAGTTTCTGAGTTGGAGTTCCGACTTCAGGGGGCATTCAAATTGAAATTTCCAACTAGGAATATAGAGTATAAAATGAACAGAATCAGTGGCTGTTTATGAGTCCTGCTGCCACAGGGGATAAACTGTTGCTCTCGATGGAGCTCGTACTGGGAGATAGGGTTTCCATTCCTAGGGTGGGACAATCGCTGTTCCTCATCCCACTCCTATGCAGCCTTCGCCCTAAGGCCCTGACATATTGTTCTTTCAGACAATGTCATTCTCTGCAGTAAAGATGAGACAGATTATCCATCGTGAAAAGCAGGTTGACTTAAAGAAGTCTTCCGCCTGTACAGAAGAGTACTTGAATGAGATTAAAGCTTTTTGCATAGTGTTAGTAATTTGATATGTGACTGTTTCATGTCATGACAGACTGCACTAAACTGTCATAGTGCAATTTTGTGCAATCTAAGAAGCAAGCAATTTTCATTTATAATGAATAGCCATTTACGCTATATGGACAAAAGTATTGGGACACCTGGCCATTACACCTACCGGAACTTTTTTCACATCCCATTCTAAATCCATAGGCATCAATATGGAGTTGGTTCCCCCTTTGCAGCTGTAACAGCTGCCACTCTTCTGGGAAGGCTTTGCACAAGATGTTGAAGTGTGTCTATGGTCATTTTTGCTCATTCATCCAGAAGAGCATTTGTGAGGTCAGGCACTGATGTTGGACATGAAGGCTTGGCTCACAATCTCTATTATAGTTCATCCCAAAGGTGTTCGATGGGGTTGAGGTCAGGACTCTGTGTAGGCCAGTCAAGTTCTTCCACACCAAACTCACCCAACCATGTCTTTATGGACCTTGCTTTGTGCACTGGGACATAGTCATGCTGGGACAGAAAAGAGCCTTCCGCAAACTGTTCCCACAAAAGTTGGAAGCATGGAATTGTCCAAAATGCATTAAAAGTTCCCTTCACTGAAACTAAGGAGCCTAGCCCAACCCCTGGTAAACAGCCCCATACCATTATCCCTCCTCTACCAAACTTTACACTTGACACAATGCAGGCTGGGAGGTAACGTTCTCCTGGCATCTGCCAAACCCAGACTCATCCATCAGACTGCCAGACCAAGAAGTGTGATTCACTCCACAGAACACGTTTCCACTGCTCCAGAGTCCAGAGGCAGTGTGTTTTACACCATTCCATCTATGCTTGGCATTGCGCTTGGTGATGTGAGGCTTGCATGCAGCTGCTCGGACAAGGAAGCCCATTCCATGAAACTACTGTTGCACAGTTATTTGTGCTGGGGTTAATGCCAGAGGAAGTTTGTAACTCTGTAGTTACTGCGATAACAGACCGGTGGTGACTCTTACGCACTGTGTACCTCAGTGCTCAGTAACCCTGCTGTGTTACTTTACATGGTCTGCCACTTTACAGCTGAATTTCTGTTGTTCCTACACGTCCATTTTGCAATAATACCACTTACAGTCGACAGTGAAATATCTAGCAGGGAAGAAATTTTATCAACTGACTTATTGCAAAGGTGGCATCCTATGACAGCACCATGCTTGAATTCACTGAGATCTTCAGAGTGACCTATTCTTTCTGTTTGTAAACCTGACTGCATGGCTAGGTGCTTGATTTTATACACCTGTGGCAATGGGTCAGAATGAAACACCTGAATTCAACGATTAAGAGGTGTGTCCCAATACTTTTGTCCATATAGTGTATTATCCCCTGAACCGTTGCAGAATCTAATTAATATTAGACTGCAGAATAGTTTGGCCAAGTAATAAGGTTTCAGGATGACTGTTGAGGTTTGTGTGGTGTGGTATTGGCTCCCTCCTCCGGTGTGAGTAATAATAATAATAATAATAATAATAATGAACACTCTATCGATCCACATGGGGAAATTCTCTTTATACTACCCAGCTGGATGTTAAGGGTCTTGATCAAGGACTCACAGATATGCTGAGGTGGGGCTTGACCTAATGTCCTTCAATCACAGACATGGCACACACTCACTGACACCCTAAAAAACAGTATTAACTTGTATATTTATTATTCTACTTTGCTCTTTCATCAAAATCCAAAAGTTCAGAAGGTTTGTTTCTCATTTTTGTACCATCTATAGTGATAATTTGTCTGCTGTCCTAATAATGCTGGTTTCCCTGGACAACCTTTATCAAAAATTGTCAAAAGGTCCAACAAAAGCAGAAAGGACAGCGACACCTAGACTCAGTGTTTCTGGAGTGCCCTGGTATACGCACTAATGCAGAAAGGACAGCGACACCTAGACTCAGTGTTTCTGGAGTGCCCTGGTATACGCACTAATGCAGAAAGGACAGTGACACCTAGACTCAGTGTTTCTGGAGTGCCCTGGTATACGCACTAATGCAGAAAGGACAGCGACACATAGACTCAGTGTTTCTGGAGTGCCCTGGTATACGTACTAATGTATATTTGGGTATTTTTACTCATTTAAACCAGGTTGGCTCCTTCTTCTAAGCACTGTAATGGCTTGCTCAGTATTCTAAACAAATTAATCAAAAGACACCATTTAGCATATAGATTATATGTGAAGGACACATTTACATTTTGTTACTGGGTAAAACAGCGAATTCCTCTGATCTTCTGGCTAAAACATCAGGCCGATCTAAAGAAAGCCAGTTCACTGATAATGCTTCAGCTCATTCTTTTGCTTTCCCTAAAGCTTTTTAGTTTGTGGTTATGTTGAATATTTCTCTCAGGGTCCTGCTGTTTTGGTTGCTGACTTCTTCTCAGATATTGTCCTTTCCACCTCAGTCATTTTGGCCAGTTTTTCAGGCACATAACCCCTCTTAGTCTGAGAAATGCATGTTCATGTACTTGCAGATTGTCACACGACACTACAACAAAGTGTAGACACAATCTGCTGTGTCTCTTGTATTCTTTCTTTTGGCCCTGCCTTCCTTCTGCTTGGTGGCTCAGTGGGAGGCTCTGTCGCCTTACACTGCTGGAATTGTGAGTTTGCTCTTGCCTCTTCTCAGAGTGCTTGAAGTTTGCATGTTCTCTGTGTGTGGTGAGGAGTTCCACAGAGTACCCCTGTTTTATTATTATTGTTGATTACGATGTGTGTGGACTGGCATTCCAGCCCAGCCTCCCCCCTCTGTTTCCAAGCAGCCTCGCAAGCTTGACCAGGTTAAGTGGAAGATATAAAGATGGATAGATGGATGGATGGATGTTTGTACTGAGAAAGGATTCAGACCTATGTCCCTGTTCACAGCTGGCGTTAACATGCGCCCTGGGTGATCCAATCACAAGTGGACAGCACTAAATACAGGTGTGAAATCACCCAAAACGGACTAAAGATGCATTGAGATCCGATGGCGCAAACCACATTCGGAGGTGTGGTCTGGGACGCATATGACCACATTCTTATAGCAGTATGAACGCGAATGTGTCCCGGGCCGCAACGAAGGACCGCCTATCCAGCGGACGTCCTTATGTGGGCGTAAGCAGCCCATGTACGTACTCACTACACGCGCAAGCAGTATCTGACATATGATTTATGTCAGAACGTCTGTCAGTGCGACATGGACCAATGTGTAGTAAACTGCATTGCGAATAACGCATCTTCTTTCTACAACACTAAAAATAAGTTTGAATCTGAGTTGGTTTAGTATCGGACTGTCGCGATCCATTCGCATGGAAACGTGTTCAAAGTGCGTATCGGGAACATATATTGCAAGAAATGATCTACTAAAGATGTTTTTGTTCTGAAATTTCCACATATCATATATTTAATGTGCACTTTGATGAAGCTTCATTATTTATATCAAAGCTGCTCCACACCTTATTAATATGGGTGAATCGTGCCGGTAAAAATGACATGAAAGTGAAATTAAAGTGTGTAGCTAAGCCTAGATAATGGATTTGTTAATAAATAAATATAATAACAGTATAATTATTTATATAGTTTTATATTGAGCTGACTGGGGGCTTCAATTCCCAGTCAGAAATTCAGTCCCACTGCAGTCTTGACTACTTTGCTCCTTTTACTTCACTTGCTCCAAGTCAGACATATAATTCAGCATATCAGACAAAACAATGAACCTCTTCGTTGAAATCGTCACAGATTGTGAGCTTTGGTTGTTACGATTAAAAGCTGTATTATCATATGGCAACCAACACAATGCATTGTAGACTCAACCCTTTGCCCTTGAATAGAAAAGTATTAGCCTGCTCTAGGTATATTTTGCTGCTAAAAGACCTTTTTAACATGTACATTTGTACAATGTTGACGCGGTATAAAAATGCATGTCTACAATGTGAAAAATGTAACTTTATTGTGAAATATAGTTTGAATTATTTAAGAAATCACATTTGCATTATGTGAAGTAATATTTTATAATGACTGTCGAATGAAAATCACAATGTTATTGCGAAATATAATTTAGAGATTATGGAATTATTAAAAAAATAAAAGGACATTAATAATTAAAATATTTATTCATTTATTTATAGATATATTTATTTAATTTTGAGTATTATGGAATTCCATACAAACGTCTCAAGCGGTTTGCTTACCCTGAAATGCACAAATAGCTTTTGATTGCTGCTGCTTCTTCTTTTAATGTTCGGCAGATTCTGCATACGGAAGTGATTTACGATCCGATTACAAACGGTCTGTCGAGACTCATGTTAATGCCGGGTGTGAACGGGCGTATTTAGCGTTGTCTGCTTGTGATCAGATCACCCAGGACGCATGTTAATTCCGGGTGTGAACGGGCGTATTTAGCGTTGTCTGCTTGTGATCAGATCACCCAGGACGCATGTTAATTCCGGGTGTGAACGGGCGTATTTAGCGTTGTCTGCTTGTGATCAGATCACCCAGAAGACGCATGTTAATTCCAGGTGTGAACAGGGCCTATGACAAAATCACACATTTTACTGGATAGTAAAATAATGGGTAACACTTAACTTGAGAGGGCACAAATAATGTAGCAGTACACTCTTAATGCATTAATTAACCTGAAATTAAATGTTAGTTACGTACTGATCCCATGTTCATTCATCATTAATCAGTTATGAGTTCATGTATTTCATGCAGTTACTATATTTGTTCATGATTTGTTCTTGAGTAGTAACTGAGTTACTAAGTTACTTGTGCCCCCTTAAGTAAAGTGTTACCAAATAATGTTTTAAAATTTCTCTCTCTCTGTGATACTTGATTTCACAGTACCAGTATTCATAATGAATCGGCAGCGTGAATTTTACGTCACATCAGAGTCTGAATCTTTATAGCCACGCGACTAAGGCCGGGGGAAATTTTTACCCCACTTACTACTGTTAGAGACGTGACAATAGGCAATGAACAATTACATTAAATATAAATTAAATATATGACACAAGGTAAGTGTCCTAACCCTTGAGCTCAGAATTTACTGCAAACACATTTGGCTGCAGTTAAATCTTCATGCCTTTTTGGGAAAGTGCGTGCCAGTCTTTCACACATTCTCACTTCAGATTCTTATCACTGATTCTTACCACAACTCATTTGATTTATGTTCTTGGAAAAGCATGAAAAGTGACCTCTTTGCCAGACTATCAGGAAGTTGATTTTTTTTGTTTTGGGAGGTGCTGGGGAGGGGGGTGCTGGATTGCATTAGCTCAGGTTTAACTTTCCTCGGCCCTGTCGACGAGAGCGGGAATCTGTGCATTAAAGTAATTCAAAGATACTATCTAAGTTGAGCAGATTTCATCTATTTCTTTTGATGTTATCTTGATTCTGTGTGCTTTTTTTATAGTTTGGAAAGCCAATATCTCTGAAGGAGAATAGTAAATCCGTAACTGCATGCCACTTACACAATACCCCAAGGACCTGTTTAAACACTGCCATAATTGTCGCACGCAATTAAAGTCTCTTAGTGGTCGGTAATTCTGAAGAATTTAACTTGATTTCAAGCTCACCATGTCGTCTTGTTTCTTAAAAACTTTGAAGTAAATAACAGTTATTTTCATTACCCTTTGAAAAGTGGAATCATTTTCAAGGTCAACAATAACTCTTAATAATGTTAAGTTGCTTTACTTTGTCTTATGGGCACAATTAACACACATGAAAATGATGGAAGTATCTGATGTTTTACACTCCACGCTATAAATTATGATGGTCTTCTAACGTTAGGTAGATAAAGGAAGCCACCAGGAATTTTGAGAAAGTTTCTTTGGATAGTTACTAATCTTTATGTCGTTTCAAGAATCATGGCTCTCTAACTGCAACTTTGACTGAAATATCTTCCATTATATGTAAACACAAACTGATATAAGAATTAACAATAAAAAGTGTGCATGTTGTATAAGACTTAAGGTTAACTGTCTATGTGGAGTATTGGTGCCTGAGTTGTTGCCTGCAGGTGAACCATGTTGGTTCTGCAAATTGATGGGTTGGGTGGTTGTAAAATTTGTAAATTGTATGACCTAAGAGTCATATTTGTCTAGTACTTTTTTTCCTTGGTAGTTTACAAAGGATACTGATGACATTCTTCTTCAAGGAGATGTCAAAGAGGACCTCAGTAATTACACTGAAATGCTGACCTGTCATATTCATTTACACAGCATCATGATAAAGTAATATCCCTCAACAGAAGCATGCAGCCTCATGGTTTAAGACATTGTGATTTGCAGCACAGAATGAGTGATTTCTGAGTATTTCTGAATTAAATCATAGACCTACGAGTAGCTTACCTGCGAATATAGCAGCCAAGCTGCTGCTTTTGAATGCGGAAGAAGAGGATTTCACACGGGAATGAACAAATTCGAAAGGCAGTGTAAGAAATATCTTTGTAAGGAAGAAAGATTGTTTGTGGTTTGTTCCTTGAAGTCAGGCTAGATAAAATCATCTATTCACCGGAGTGAGGAGGTTACTCAGAACACAGCTGGGGGCTAAAAAGTGAATGGGGGGGCAGCCTCTGAGGGTGAGTCAGGTGACCACGTTTGATGATTACTTCCAGACACTTGGAAGCTGTTTGACTTGTAGTAACAGCAGGCAGCTACAAAATTCACAGCCCTGCCCGTCTGCACTCCAGCAAGTCTGAGCGTTTTTTGTTGTGTGTTTGTGTGTGTGTGTGTGTGTGTGAGAGAGCGGGTTTACCTATCCTTATGAGCACATAATGTCCCCATAATGTAATAAATATCCGTTTTTTTCCCTTATGGGGACCGGTTTCCTGGTCCCCATAAGGGAAAACTCTGTTTTATAAAAATCGGTGACTGCTATGAAAAAACTAAAAATGCAAAAACTCTTGTATTTTGTTAGGTTACTTATGGTTATGGTTAGGGCAGGGTAGGGGTTAAGGTTGTCATAGTTAGCGTTAGCATTTTTCCCATTGAAATGAATGAGCGGTCCCCATAAGGATATGTTTACCCTACATGCGTGTGTGTGTGTGTGTGTGTGTGTGTGTGTGTGTGTGTGCGTGCACGTGTGTGTGTGTGTGTGTGTCGTGCGTCACTTCTGCTCTGATGAGTCAATCACCATGTTCAGTCACTGCACATCTCATTATTAACACATATGTCAGAGAGCAAATCCATTGACTGTTTCTCTCTCTCTTTTTGCCACCCCTCCCCAGTAAGGGCCAGTTTGATCCCCAGCCCCCCAACCTACAACTCTAAGTATGGTTACTTGAACTGGGAGTCATATTCCAATGCCACCTACTACACTCGCATCCTGCCTCCGGTGCCGGAGGACTGTCCAACACCCATGGGGGTCAAAGGTCAGCCCTGATTGGGGGGGGGGTCATTGTTCTCTTAAAACAGACTAGTCTTGGTAGTTAAATATCTTAAATGACTCGTTTTAGTATCCTAATGGCAGAAGCCATATTAAATTCTGAATAAAGATAATCATAATTTAGAAATAAGAATAAGAGTCCTAAACGTATAAAGAAATGTCAAAGTTTGTTTTTCACTGTAACAGTTTGCAGCTGTGACATTGTAAAACTCCAAAGTCCAAAATCTCTTGCCAGCAATTAAAATTTTTTTTCTTTCTTTTTTTTCACAGGAAAAGCAGTACTTCCAGATCCTGAGGTTCTGGTGGAGAAGTTTCTACTGAGGAAGAAGTTCAGACCAGATCCACAGGGATCCAACCTGATGTTTGCTTTCTTTGCCCAGCACTTCACCCATCAGTTTTTCAAGACCCACAACCGTGTGGGTCTGGGCTTCACCAAGGCCCTGGGACATGGAGTATGTCTGCAAGGGAAGGGGGGTGGTCTTTTACAGCCGTGTTTCCCAACCCAGTCCTCAGGGACCCACAGACACGCCACATTTTTTCTCCCTGCCAGACAGTCCACATTTTTGCTGCTGGGAGCTGGGAGGGAGCAAAAACATGGACTGTCTGTGGGTCCTCACGGACCGGATTGGGAGACAACAATTTTACAGGGATCTGCTGCTGCTGAAGCTATTAAATTATCACTGATTGAAGTAGCGCTTCCTGCATGCTTCTCTGGCTCACAAAAATCCTTATATAACAGTTATTTCAGAACTAGAATGTTGGACATATGATAGCATACTGTCTATGTCATATATCATATGCTAGTCTGTCAATTATAAAATTAATTTATTAGTGTAATCTAAAAATTGTCACATTTTTTGTTGATGAAATATGGCTTGTCTTAGGGATTAGTACTGAAATGCTGCATATCAAATATCAAGTAGCATAAAGTATGAATATGAATAAATTATTATTAAAATGCCAGAAAATCTAATATAATATAATACATTTTGAATTCAAAGGAAAGGAGTGTCTTCACCTTCCTGTTTACTGAGTGGGTGTTTACTCTAATCCTTTACAAATGTGCATTCATTGTCTGGTAAGCCAGCTTCTCATTCAGATGAGCACTTAACTTACCCGTATGTCACCTAGCCATGTTTCTAATTTGCGTGCACCTTCACTAGGTGGACGCCGGGCATATTTATGGTGATAATCTGGCTCGCCAGCTCCGACTTCGTCTTCACAAAGACGGGAAACTGAAATACCAGGTAGGAGATCTGCTGGCAAGCAAGTTTGAACACATCTGTAATATTCTGTTCCCAAGCTGTGACTATGATTTGGCAAAAGGTAAAGATAAATCTAGAGGGAGTAATTGAGCAGTTCTGTCCCCTGAAGTGAAACTCGCCTCTCTTAAAGGGACACACCGCCCTGTGAGGAGCTGTTCACGAATGCCACCCTACATATTCAAAGTAAATAGTGTTATATGCACTGTGTGATACAACTGGCCCTCTTTTCAAAAACTTTACATTCTCCTGAATTACCAGGTTGTAGCTCCTCTGCTTTTATTGGAGGTCTACAGAGCATTATCTGTCCGCTCCCTTCATATTCTGCTTCCCATGAACTGCTAATGCTTCACTTTCTAATCCTCGGCTCAGATCCCCAAGATCTACTGTGTATGTCAGTTTGGAGAGCTCTTCATTTAATTAGGAACTCTTTGAGTCATTGCATTGGAAAAAGTGCTACTTGAAGACTTATTTATTGAATATTATGCAGTTGTTGATTCATCAATCCCTTGTTTCCCTGTACTGGGTCAGTATGGATGGATGCATGGATAGATGGATGGATGGATGGATGGATGGATGGAAGCAGACAGATAAGCAGGTAAAGGAAACAACAGGCAGATAGGCAGAATTTGTCATGTGGGGTTCTCTCACGTAGTCACCGTCGTTTACTTCCCACTGTCAGCTGAAGCAGATGTGAGGTCATACACTGGTCTTTTGAGCATTTTTAGCACGTCACCCCAGCACATTCATATTTCTATGTTAATAAGACCTCTCGCTGTGATACACCGGGCAATTTCACACCATATGTAAAGTCTAAGACATGGGAGAGGATGACCCTGGAGCTGCTCTATACCAGCTGTACAGTCATATTCTTCTCCTTCCTCTTGTCTGACCACAGCCTTGTATACCTGGTCATCAAATTAAGGGTGTACTCACACTAGGCGTAGATCTAGAGCCATACTAGACTAGATCCGTACTGAGACCGAGCATGTTTGACCCCAGTTTTAGTGTGATCTCTCCATGTCATGCCAAGCACAGAACACAAACTTGACATCAATGATGTGATTAGCACATGCATGCACGCGTACACCATCTGTGAACAGGACACGGAAGGAACGGATTGGGCAGGCTGTACAGATTGAGCAGCGACAAATATTTAACAAACATGGTGGTGATGGGATGACATTGGTCTATGGCAGGGGTGCAGTGTTTCCTGGAAATTTGGGCTGATGAGAATATCCAGGAACAGCTGTATGCAACACACAGAAACTCTGAGATGTTTTGTAAACTGCAGGATGTGTACTTATATGTGCAGCCAGATTAAATGAAAATCACTGCGTTGCATTGTTGTTAAATCTATGAGGGCCATATGTCATCACTCTGAAAATGACTCCAAAGAAACCACAAATCAGGACATTGATCATGAACGCCATTCCCCTGTGAGTTCGCACTTGTCTTCCTGTATTACCTTCAACACAAGAAATCGCTCGGTGATAACAAACGCATGCTTGGATCGTTAAATGCAATGTGAGTTCAGACCAGCAGGGGGATGGAGTGGAGTGGAGGGGGGGCAGGGGCAGTCATGCTCGGGCACGGTACAAGGCAACCTGGCCAAGTGTGAGTGCACCCTGCACGCCCTTGTTTGGGTGTAGTGCTGTGTGATCAACGCTGTGACAGTATAATCACAAGTAAAGGCTCTGCAGAACTTCTTGGAGTTTGTGGCAGGAATGTGGGAGATGGTGCATTAACTGCATTAGATCAACACCAAGCTGGTTCTATTATTCGCAGAAAAAAGACTTTTTCCCAAATTACAAGCCCCAGGTCAAACAAGATATCATAAAGCTACTTACTAAGAAGAGGACTTTCCTGATGGAAACTAGGGAGGTGGGGTTCTTAGGAGGAGGATGAGGTCAGTCCATATTTTCTGAGGGTGGAACAGAACCTCTTGCATCGTCTTTGGTGCTCCTAGTGGGCTGCAGACCAGTGGCACTGAAATCCCGTATAATGAAAATTTTTGATAGGACCACTTGTGGAGGACTTCCTAGACCAGATATACAAACGTGTGGAAGATGCTTTCCTATAGCTTCTATGCTGAGCCTGTTCACATCTGGATAAGTTGAGCGTCATCATGAAAGTTCTCTTCTTTGACAACCGAGCTGCCCCTTCAGCCACAGATGTACCTCCCTGAGGGGCAGGCCTGAGAACTTCAGATGCTTCTCTGTTCCTCCTGCCATTCCTTTGTACAGTGCTCCATGTCCCTGTGCCCTCCATGTCCCTGTCCCCTCCATGTCCCTGTCCCCTCCATGTCCCTGTGCCCACCATGTCCCTGTCCCCTCCATGTCCCTGTGCCCACCATGTCCCTGTCCCCTCCATGTCCCTGTGCCCACCATGTCCCTGTGCCCTCCAT